TTCTTAAATATACAGTGGGTGGGAGGATGGGTGAAGCAGGTGAAGGGGATTAAGGAAACACTGTGATAAGCACTGAATAATGTACAGAATTGTTAAGCCACACATTGTACATCTGAAACTAATATAACACTGTACGGCAATCACACTGGTATTAAACAAGGAAAGAAGTAAAAACCATGGAGATCTAAAATGCACATGGAACATTCTCAAAGACAGACTTATGGTAAGTCATAAAACAAGCCTCAGCAAATTTCAAGTGATTAAAATCATACAGAGTACATTCTCCAACCACACTGGGATGAAATTAGAAATCAATAATCAAAGGAAATTTGGGGAATTCACAGATATTTGGAAACTAGGCGACACACTCCTAAGTCATCAATGAGTCAGAGATGAAACTTCAAGGGAAATTAGAAAACACTTTGAGATGACTGATAACAAAATGATAGTATACCAAAACGTATGGGATGTAGCTAAAGCCGTGCTGAGCAGGAAACTGACAGCTGTAAGCCCCTGTATCAAAAAAGAAAGATCTCAGATCAATAGCCTATCCTCTCAGCATAAGAAGCTAGATAAAGAACCAAACTCAAAGCAAGTAGAATATATAAGCATGTATGTACATATATATATAGAGGATACACAATATATAGAGAATATATATAGATATGTATCTATACATGGAACATAGAAGAATTATGTATCATAAACTCAAAGCAAGGAGAACAGTGGGTACTCCTAAGAGGATTCGCATTTGCCTCCGTCAGGTAAGAGGCTAATAACTTTAAACTGAATGCATGATTCGAGACTTTCTGGCCCATCTCGGTTTTGTGAATTTGGGAGGCAAATCTGTGCAAGAGCGACCTTGTAGTTACAATTCTCAGGCACTGTTTTGTTCTGTTCTGTTCATACCGAGGCAACTTCCTTTCCAGTCTGCGGCAGGTAGATGTGGGAAGGAGTCGGGTTACTTTGGGTCCATGGCTGCATCTGCCCCATGGAAGCTGCGTTTATCAAAGGAGGGTCTCTGAGCAGATGTTTACCTTAGGCAGGCTTGCAGCATTGTCTTATACTTTCAAGAGCCTCAGACTGGGGGCGGCTGGAGGCCTCAGTGGGTTAAGCCTCCGCCTTCGGCTCAAGTCACGTTCTCAGGGTTGTGGGATCGAGCCCCGCATCGGGCTCTCTGCTCAGCGGGGAGCCTGCTTCCTCCCTCTCTCTGCCTGCCTCCTCTCTGCCTACTTGTGATTTCTCTCTCCGTCAAATAAATAAAATCTTAAAAAAAAAAAAAAAAGGCCATCAGGCTGAAGATCAAATTGTTGTTTGGCAAAAGGTCTCAGGATAAAAAGCAGCCTAAGTACTTGCTCGCCTCTCTGAACTTTCACTTCTACTTAGATATTACGTAGAGAATCCTTACTATCTTAGGAGCTCTGCAACGCTTTTAAGAAGTTACTTCTAAATAATGCATGCCGCATGGGTTGTTTTCACGAAGAGAGTGGGTCTGAATAATTAAGCTCATGTTTCAGAAATGGAAAAATACCCCTTCTTTTATTAACCCACCGAAATCTTTTTTGTTTTTGTCCTTGCCATTCCACTGAAACTTCTTGATTTCCACGTTCCCAACTCTAGTAATAAACTGTCACCCTAGCCTCTTGGCAACGTTTCCCGTTTTTTAATACTCCTTCTTCCTTGAAACACACTCTTCTTTGGGGCACCAGTCTCCCTCTCACAGTTTTCTACCTGGTTGTTGACTGCATCGTTTCCATTGTGGATCCTATCTGTATCATTTCACTCTCTATATGTGGGATGTTAGACTTCAGTCATTGATTCTTGCAGTGAATCTATTGCTTGGTGGTCAGCTCCTTCTGTCACAACTGAGGCACACATTCCGCCCGCTGCTTCAGTGAATGAGAAGCTCTGGATACACATCATTCGAGCACAATGACAACTCCATAGCTCAAGATCATGTCCCCAAACACGGCCCATCACATTCATCAGCCACTGACTTCTGAGGGCTTTGTGCAACGTTGACTCCTTGCTTTGAGGCAAGACACTCCGAAGGACAATTGCTCTGATTCCAGAGCTCCTTGTAGAATTTCTTGATGTCTCTTTTCAACCTCCCTCTCCACCCAACAGTGCTTCTCTACAGCACTCAATAAATGTCTTGCACATACATCTCAGAATCTCTTACCTAGAGAACTGAACCTACATTTGTGTAGATTCTGTGCCTCAGTGGACTGCTCTGTAAAATGGGGAGAATGAGGTCACCTAACCCACGGGCTTGTGAGCGACCCGCGAGTTACGGTGCATAAGGCCCCTAAGACAGTGCCAGGCACGGAGTAAGAACGGCTTAAAGATTTGCCATGGTTATTACTGTGGTTATTTCTAATTATGACAGCACGTTCTCTCTCGTGAGTCGTCTTGGCTTTTCTGACCTTTCTTTAAACCTTATCTTCCGTCAGTTCTCTTTGTAATGGATGATGTCTCTATTTTAAGAGGGAGAAGTAAAATACAGAAGAATCTGTCCCTAAGCAAAGACCCAAACTGGTTTGTGTTGTGATGCTTACGATCCCCAAGGCGTTACAGTTTGGGGATGCCTTTTCCTTGGGGCGCCTGGATTCAGCAGGAGCAAGAATGGTTTTTAACAGTAAAGGTGTAGGGCCTCATGTATTAGGAATGAGGGTCTGGCCCAGTGCTGGACATGTGCCAGCGTCTGAGCTCCAGGAGAGTCCTGAATCCTGGCCTGATGTACTTCAGTACAGGCCTTCTGTGTTTCTGTGTTGTTACTTAAGGGTGGGAAATTGAGTTCATATTAACACTGCTAACTCCAATCCAAATTACAGGGTTCACACCAGATTGGTTTTTTTCTGGATTTGTCATTCTCTTCTCTGATAATGAGCAACTTTGCTCGCATTACCTTCCATACGTTTCCTTGACCAACACTGCCTCTTTTTAACAAGTTTCTCAATCCAGTGCCTTCTCACTCTGTTCCCTTGGCTAAAACCCCAAATAGGACAGGCGGTGACACGTGAATAGGGATGTGAAATAGGTGGTGGTAGTTCTCCTGCCATTCCTGCCTCCCCCACCCCCATGACACCCTCCTCACACCACATAGGCTCCAAAGTGGCCCCCAAAGTGGGCTCCCACCTCCCGTGACCCCACCTAAATGCTTTTATACTGTTAATTCAGGAAGGAAAGTAGGAAGGTAGGACTTGGTTTTTAAATGCGGGAGGGGGTGGATTTCAAACATTTCAGATGAACCTTGAATTCAATAACCACTGTCTTTTGGCCATTTTCTTTCATTCTTCTATACCCTCCCTCTCCTCTTTCTCTCCCCTTCCCTTCTCTCCCCGACTTTCATCTTTCTCTCATTCTCCTTTCTTTTAGTAAAGAAAACCCAGTGACAATCTTATCTGTTTACCAATTAATACTTCAGTGTGAATTTCTAACAAGGACCTTAATGTAATCTTAGTATTATTAGACTCAATAAAATCAACAGTAATTCCTAAATATCACTGTGTTCAAGTTTTCCTAATTATTTGAAATGATTTTTTTAAGATTTTATTTTTAAGTAATCTCTATACTCAAAGTGGGTCTCAAACCCATGACTCTGAGATCAAGAGTTGCATGTTCTACCGACTGAGCCAGCCAGGTGCCCATGAAATAGGTCTTTTTTACAGATGTTTTTCCTTACAGGATCCGAAAATAACTTACCACTTGCATTCGGTTGATTTGTCTACTAAGTCTCTTATTTATTTATTTGAAATATTTTATTTATCTTAGAGGAAGTATGAGCTGGGGAGGCAGGGAGGAGCAAAGAAGAGGGACTAGCAGATTCTGGGCTGAGGGTGGAGCCCAACCCAGGGCTCGATTCCAGGACCCTGAGATTCCAGGGCCTGAGATCATGATCTGAGCCGAAGGCAGATGCTTAACCAACTGAGCCACGTAGGTGCTCCAACTCAGTTCCTTTTATCTATGACAGTTTTCCTTACCCCCTCCTCTTTTTAAAAAAAAAAAAATTTTTATTTATGGAACAATTTCAGTCTTCTGTCCTATAAAATGTCTCACACTCTTAGCGGATTGCTTATTTTAGTATCTTTAACTTACTAGTTTTCAAACTCAGCTACACATTGGAATCATCTAAAAAAATTTAAGTTATTAGGGACGCCTGGGTGGCTCAGTTGGTTAAGCAGCTGCCTTCGGCTCGGGTCATGATCCTAGCGTCCTGGGATCAAGTCCCACATTGGGCTCCTTGCTCAGCGGGGAGCCTGCTTCCCCCTCTGCCTGCCTTTCTGTCTGCCTGTGCTCGCTCTCCCTCTCTCTCTGACAAATAAATAATAAAATCTTTAAAAAACAAAAACAAATTTAAGCTATTAAATGCCCAGGTCCCCCCCACCCTCGCAGACTGATATAACTGATCTTGGTTCACCCAAGGTATCAGGATATTTTTAAAGTTCTCTAATTATTCTAATGTGTAGCAAATTTGAAAAACCTTCATTTAATTTGCTTCTGTATTTCACCTGTTTGCTGGTTTTTGGATCTAGAGACTTGATGAGACTCAGATTCACTGACTTTGGCAAGATTTGTTGATGTAACAGTGCCCCCAGAGCTGCCTAGCAATGTCCTTGAGCCCTGGGCACACGGGAGATGAGGGACTGCTAACACTTTACTGGTTAATACCGCTTTCCCATGTGCAGGAATCTTCTGCAGAAGTACAGCTGCCCACTAGCGTGAGGCCCAAGTCCCTGCCTTGGCCCAGGATGTCTCAAGAATCGAAGGAAGGCACAGCCCTGGACGGCCAATCTGCAGAGAACCAGATTGGGCTTCTGGTCGTAAAGGTGGAAGAGGAAGAGGCCTCTGCCGTGGTGGGGGAGGCCAACCCTGTGCAGTGTTCAGAAAACTCCCGCCGGCGCTTCCGGGGCTTCCGCTACCCCGAGGCCGAGGGGCCCCGCGAGGCACTGAGCCGGCTGCGGGAGCTCTGCCGACGCTGGCTGCGGCCCGAGACGCACAGCAAGGAGCAGATCGTGGAGCTGCTGGTGCTGGAGCAGTTCCTGACCATCCTGCCCGAGGAGCTGCAGGCCTGGGTGCGGGAGCAGCAGCCGGAGAGCGGGGACGAGGTGGTGGTGCTCCTGGAGTATTTGCAGAGGCATCTGGAGGAGCCAGGGCCGCAGGTAGAGGCGAAGGGCTTAGTGTCTGAAACGAGCCTGTCTCTTCCTGAAGTCTCAACATCGGAGTGAGGGTCGTTTCTGGAAGACCCAGAAGTTCTCAGTCTCTTTTCGTATCATAAACCTCTTTGCCCCTTCGGAGTACTGGTATTTTTAAGAACATGAAGAATTAGAAAAGAACTCAATTGTATTGAAACACAGTTAACCAAGCGTGAAACAATTCAGTGATAAAATTATCTATGTGCTCTGGGGCGCCTGGGTGGCTCAGTGGGTTAAAGCCTCTGCCTTCAGCTCGGGTCATGATCCCAGGGTCCTGGGATCGAGTCCCGCGTCTGGCTCTCTGCTCGGTGGGGAGCCTGCTTCCCTTCCTCTCTCTCTGCCTGCCTCTCTGCCCATTTGTGATATCTGTCTGTCAAATCAATTAATAAAATCTTAAAAAAAAAATTATCTATGTGCTCTTTAAAATTAATGCACCAAATAGTAAGACCAAGGGACAGGCCTAGTAACTGAAAGAGTTTCCAAGTTTTTTTAAGCATGAATGACTTTGACAATGTCTGCCTGGCTGTGATGTGGTATGAAAACATCTGTACTTTCTATTGGTGACTAAGTCCCATGGCTTAACACCACATTGGTTTGTTGCTTCCATTTAAAATGGAAGGAAATGCCGAATTTCTCTTAGAGGCTAGGGAGCATTAAAATGCTTTTTTCTGGACCACTTGAGTGGGAGTTCAAGAATCTCAGGCTCAAAAACAGCTCTGCGTCTTCTATGAGCTTGTGTCCTCCATACGCCGACTTGTGGATGTTCCTTCAGAGGACACGTGGCAGAACCCTCCAGGCACTGACCCGGTGCCCAGGGCTGTGGCCTGGATCTGCTGCCTGCCAGCCCTTGAGCAGTGAAGTCGTTTCAAGGGTCTTAGCTTCAGGCTCCTCATTCTCCAAAGAAGTGGTTAAGTCTGAGCTCCACGGGAGAAAGTAACTAGAAAAGTTGTTTATAAATTTCTGAAAGGAAGCCTGCTTTTGTGGGGACAAACCACGTACAGCGTTCTGAGTTAGATGATTGTACATACTGTCACCTTATTGGTCCCAAAGCCCTGTAAGCAAGAAATGTTGCCCTCAACTTTTCAGATACAAAAAGACAGGAGTATTCTGGAAACTTAACACTAGCTCCCAAAGTCTTCATAAGAGCACAACGTATGTAACGAGGGAGCACGCGATAGTGGCTAAGAGCGTGGGCCCTGGGGTCCCTCTGCCTGACCCCCCATCCTAGCATCACCACTGATTAGCTGGGTGACCTTGGGCAAGTTGCTTCAACTCTGGGCCTCCATTACCTCAGCACAAAAGCACAGATAATAGTAGTTCCTCGCTCATAGAGCTGTTGCTACCTGCATTCAGTGAATCACGATTCATAAGGTTCTTAGAACTAGTGCCTGGAAAACAGAAAGTACTAGCACAGAGAAAGCATACTAGAAGTTCTGATGAATCAGTAAGTGAAACTTCCAGGTCCTCGGTGGTGACCAGACGCAGCTGCTCTGTTGCAAGATGGCGGTGCTGACACCAGCCCAGAGGCCCTGGAGTACCGAGTTGCAGCCAAAGAAGGCTCTGCTCAAGTGCGAATCTCTGGGATCCCAGGCCTCAGCAGACAGAGGTGAGTGTTGTCTCCTGGGCAGCTTGAATTCGACAGCCTTCATCCAGCTTCATTAAGCATCACCTGATAGGTCCACTGACCGCTACACTGGCCATCATTGACTGACTGTACTTTGAGACTAAAAGGGAAATTTTAAACAGTGGTGGAAAGCATTCCTAATCAAGCCCGGTCATAATACAAAGATAGACAAGTGAAACTTGGTTTGGAAAGAATTCGTTCTCTGTTCATTTCACACGTAACCATGGAGGCCTCTAAGTGGTAGCCCATGGGTCTGGTGGGGACGGCAGCAGATAAGCAGAGTGATAGAGCTTGAGACGGGGAGAAGTGCCAAGAAGAAAATGACAGAATCTGTCAAGCCAGTCGGAATACCCCACAGATTACAGGACTATTGCAAATGAGACTAGAAATGCTCTAAACCCTGGCTCTGTTACTAGAATAGCACGAATCACCCCCAAGGATGAGGCTGTATGTCCAGAATGTGTGTGCAGGTTCCCAGGACACAGCCCCGAGACACGCCAGCCGCCACACCCAGTCTTTACTTCTCAACACAGGTTCTAGCTTAAATCCACTATTCTGTGCCCCTTTTAAAGTTTACCTCTTACAGGGCAACTTGAAGTTCTTGCTTTTGTCTCTTGACTCTGAGCAAGTTCTGTACAGCTAGAGGCCTGTGCATTTCTAGTTCTAGCCTTCTTTGATGCTGGTTAGGCCCCTAACAACCACAAATGGCAGTTTAACCAAAATCTTAATTTTACTCTCCCTCCCAAGCAAAATTCAGAGGATCTTCAGATGAAAAGCTTGTTTTATGTTTCTTAAACGCACTTTTCCTTCCAAGGATCCCACCCCTTCTGTGTACTTTTTGTAAACGGACAGCACACCACGCCTCTCTAGGCCCTAGGGCTGGAGCTGGCAGGACCAGGCACTGGGGAAAGGAGCACGTTGTGTATAAATTTTCTGGGGAATTTCCTGGCCCAGTTTTTGAGCCTGGAATCCACAGGCCAGGGAGGCTGGGTGCCAGGGTCCATCTCATCCAGAGCGTCTTTCCTTCTTAGTCCTCCAGGTTCCCGGGCTTGCCCCGGGAGGGCGCCGCAGAGGACACGCACTGGTGACTGCCAGGCTGCCCCCACAGCCCCAGGTGAGCCCGAGCCCCCCTGCTGTGCATCCTTTGCCAGTCTCTCCCTCCCGCCCTACATCCTACACCCACCCAAGTCCTAGGTGGGATTTTAAGTTTCTCATGCATGCCAGTGTCGCTTGTCATGGTCTAACTTCCTGGTGCCTGTGGAGGAGGCTTTTCCTATTTTATGACTCCCCTGGGCGCTGTGTGTGCTTCCACACCCTCCCCTCTCTCTCTGGTCAGCCCCTTCCTCAGTGGGATTTTCTTCAATAAGTACAATTCGGCAAATGCAAGCTGAAGCTTTTGTCGTGATGGTACTTTTGCCCTGAATGGGATTTTTTTTTTTTTTTTAGGATTCTATTTGAGAGAGAGAGAGAGTGAGCACGAGAGCGGGGAGGGGCAGAGGGGGAAGCAGACTCCCCGCTGAGCAAGGGGCCTGACACAGGAGGGCTCCATCCCAGACCCTGAGATCATGACCTGAGCCAAAGTTAGAGGCTTAATGGACTGAGCCACCCAGGCGCCCAAGTTGTTTTTTTTTTCTTTTTTCTTTTTTTAAATGCCATGACTAGGGTATAAACACACAGTCTCTGGCTCTCAAGGAACTTAAAAGTTGAGAGGAAGGTGAGGCATGTCCATTTTTCTCAACTAATAGTACAATCTGAGCAAGCTTTACTTAACGTGGATTTTACTTTCTCATCCAGTTCCTCATGTCCTCGAGATTCTGTAGTCGCACTTTCTTCCCTGACTGTCCTCACCTCAGACCTACATTTCTTTTTATTCTTTATTTTATTTTATTATTTTATTCTTTTTAAGATTTTATTTATTTATATGACAGAGAGAGACAGCGAGAGTGGGAACACAGCAAGGGGGGTGGGAGAGGGAGCAGCAGACCCCCCACTGAGCAGGAAGCCCGATGGGGGCTCGATCCCAGGATCGTGGGATCATGTTCTGAGCTGAAGGCAGACGCCTGACGACTGAGCCACCCAGGCGCCCCTCATTTCATTATATTTTAATAATCATTCATGTCAATGAGCCCCCATCACTACCTTGCTGAAAATCACGCCAGAAATCTCGTGAGACGTTTCCGTTGGTTCCAGGCCTTTCACTGGGTTGGCCGTTATTTTGTCTAGACAGTGACGAACACACCCTCACGGGTTCTCTCGTTCTTTACTTCCGTGCTGTTCTGCTGACCGGTGAGGCGGGTATTAGTGGCTGCGCTGGCGTGGTCGGCACAGCCGTTGGAGGGGACACTGAGTCTCCTGTGCCCAGCTGCGGGCGGGACTTTGGGGCAGAGGAACTAGGTGGGACCGTGTGCTGTTTCAGGGCTTGCTGAAGACGGAAGACGTGGCCCTGGCTTCCTCCCTTGCGTGGACACAGCTGGATTCATCTTGGAGGAGCTTCCACGGAGAGGAAAGGCAGGAGAACTGCGGCGGCCTGACTCCCCTGGGTAAGACATGGGTGCTGGTCCCTGCTAGGGTCTCGTGGCTCCCCTTGTCGGTCAGAAGCTGCTGGGCTTCGAGAAGCTGTCTGAGCTGTTTGCGTCCAGAGCCACCGATTCTGAACCCGCTCCTAACCGCAGCGTGACCGGCTCCTTAACCCCCGTGACGCCGCCTCCTTCCTGTTCTGCCAGCATTCTGAGCAGGGGACGTGGCATGCAGCAGACGCAATCCCCAGCCTTGCTCGCAGCAGGTGCGCAGTCAGTGTTGATCCCCCGCCCGCTGCCAGCCTCGACAGGAGACTGAGTCCTCCTCAGGAGACGGGCCACGGGACCGTAGAGCATGAGAGCAAGAAATGACCCGGAAGGGACGGCAGAGGTGACCTAGAGATCAGGACACAGGGCAGCAGCCGGACTCGTCAGAGCTCACGGCTCTGTGGTGTGCAGTGGCAGTGCCAGCTCAGCTCTGTCAGCAGCGAAGCCGGTCCCTGTCTGGGGTCAGAGTGACCGCTCGCATCCCTGGCTGCGGATCAGTTTCTTGGTTCCCGCTTGCCCCGTTTCTTACAGAATGTTTCATTAAGTCCTTACGTTTGCCTGCTTCCTGCTGCCTTCCGCCCAGCTCTCCGAGCATCCAGCATCCTGAGTCCGCTCGGTAAAGCAAGGCTTGACTGACCACTTCCCGTCGTCTTGTGGCA